GTCGACAATCTATAATCGCCTGAAGCATGAGTGTCGAATTCCAGAAGGAATATACGTGAAATAGGTGCCACATTCATCTCCACGTAGCTTGTTCTTCGCTTAACGTCGGGTGCCGGGAACTTGACAGGCTGACTTCTGCCGTTGATGGCGATACTACAAAACAACCGGAAGCAGAAGCGAACTCTGAGGTTGAAACTTCTTTCAGCAGGGGTCCATAAAGAACACAGCAAGATGCTGCCAAAGCTCACGAATATTTCGAAGAGAAGGTGAAGATCAAATCAGATAGTAAAAATCACTCCAGACAGTTTACATTTGCAATATAAGGACCTTGTAAGACACAAACTAGAATAAAACAAAGAGATAATAAGCTAAACATAATATAAAGGCGTCAATATGTATGTTTGAATCTATTGGAAAATCTAACCAGAAGTGCATTCATTTAGGTTTTCTTTAAACCTTTCAATACTCCGAGTACCTTTTCCACATACGATGAATCAATGAAAAACAGCAAGAAATATGAGTATAAAACGAAAAATATTGATTCTACATGCTAATTCATTGAGATACTAAATATCAAAATACACATACATTGATGTGAAAATAGAAAGGAATAAGAAAGAATCTAAAACAATAAATCAATAATTTCCCCAAGTATTTCACTTTCCTTTTTGTCAAGGCCACATCAAGGCGTTGCCTCAAGACTTTTAGCCACCCCTGGATTAGACAGAAATGGAAAAGAAAACTAAAAGCGTGTACACGGAGTGAGGTTGAAAAAGCCCCGGGGCTTTTAAAGCGCTCCAGGTAATTTCTCCACACGTCAAAGAGCGTTTATTTCGCATTTACGCGCACTTAAAAAGCGCAGTGAGCTAAACATGTAAGAAATTAATAATCGTTTGGTTTAATTATAAGAATTACAGAGTAAATTACGAAAGCGGGTACGAAACAAGACTCGCTGTCTTGGGGTGCAGGTTTCGAATTCAGCAACATGTACTTACAGCGACGCTCTTAATTTTTTTAAAAACCAGATTGCAACGTACATATGTTGCCTCTTGAAAACGGCTTTTGTCTTTTATTTGGTTTAAATAAGTATATTATGTATACCAAAATAAACTATGTTTACAACTCTTCATTTCTCCGAAGTACTCGTCACTTTCGAACGAACACTTAAAGTATGAACATTAAGATGTTGCCAATGCCAGAAATGCGAATGCAGAGTTCACGCTTACAAATTCATTAATTCAATAAAGTACTACAGATTTTTATTATGATAACAGTGTCAAAGGATCTCCTCCCAAGCGTACTTCCGCCATTTGCCTCGCCCCTGCTCCCCCCCGAAAACCTACCACCGCCACTTGCCCTTATCTGGATTAGATGATTCGAAAAATAAGCAATCATGAATGAATGAATGAATGATTTGAATTACGATGGGACACAGATGGAATAAGAGGGGGGAGCCGGGAGTACCCTTAGAAAACTCTGAGGGGATCGGCGACGACATACTTTACGTCACTGTAAATCCTACACGAACAACACAGCGGCACTCATGGCTTTACATGGCAATCCAAGATTCGTTCTCTGAAATCAACCAACTCCTGATTCAGTGTATTCCAAGTAGCATGTACAGCATCAACATCGAGAAGAAAAACACCGGAACTGTCTGGGAAACTGGGAAAGAGGCCGGAGAGGATACGGTAGGAAAAAGATTGAGCGGTGAGATATTAGACCACACTTACACGGAGCGGGACGGGACGGAGCGGGACGGGATGAGACGTACCGGGACGGGACGGAGGAGACGGAACGCGACGGAGAGGGATGGGATGGGATGGGATGGGACGGGACGGGACGGGGGCGGGACGCAGAGGTGGCAGAAGGGGAGGGGGGATGGGACGGAACTGATCGGCTAACACATTGACCCTCATTCAAAGGAGATAACGCCCGAGGTTTCATACTCCCAGATCGACTAGTATATTTGGAAAGAAGTCCCTGAGCATTCGCACGATTCGGAATGGGGGTTCTTAGTGAAGCTAATATGACCATACTTCCCCAAGGCTATTACGGGCAGGAGTAAGTACCTGGCATGGGAGTTATCAGTCACATTGACGTATGCTCTTCGGCAAGGCGATTACCGCCCTAGTGAACCGTGTCAGCAAGAGTTTTCCATTTTAAACTCTTATCTTTAGAAAAGGTAACTAACTGCCAAGCTTGCAAATTTAGTTAGCTATAATACACATTTCACTGCTGTAGAACCTTCGGATTGTAGATACTGTTTATTCCGTCGCTCTGCGAACCTCATATGAACAACAAAAGCACACTTGGTTCCCAGTATGTTTATATTAATTGTGTATAGAAGTATTTTCGGTAAATTAAATTACTCTGAAAGGCCCTCGGGCAGTAAAAGTAGCAGTTTTAAAAGAGAAGAAGAAAAAACAAGAGACCAAAAAATGATTCGAAGAGAATACCACTATTTCGCTCGGGAGTAGTGATCAGGGGGTCAGGGAAAGAATATTGTACAAGAGAGAGCAGACGACATATTAGATGTTATTTGAAATCCTCTACGGGACGGCAGCAGCTTAAGACAGCGACCCAGCAGAGCACGTTTTATACTTCCAGATCGCCCAGCGTATTAGGCAATAAAACCCAATTCTGTACATCCACGGAAGATTACATCATGACCTTCTTCCCGAGTACTACACACCGTGCGGGTCCGGGAGAGGATACGGCGAATGACGGTGGGATGGGGGTGGGGGGACGGGTGGCGACTGAGAAGATACAGTTTCCGTCGGCCGTTTGCTCTGGCCGAAATACGGGCGCGGCGACGCGGGTGGGCGGGCGGGCCGACGGACAGGAGCCTTTGAGGGGGAAAGGGCTAAATTATACTGGCTGGCGGAAGACGCGGATATGGCGGTTATATATAGCCCCCGGTCACATGCACTGCGCTCTTCGCCACGGTACCTTGCGACAGCTCAGGTTTGTCGCGAAGGAAACGGATGTTCACGAATCTACCAAAATCGCTGCAGAAAAATCGAAAAATTTCCATACAAACCAAAACGTATTTGTATTGAGATGTTTCGACTTTTCTGCATTTAATCTCACAACTATATATATATATTATATATATATATATATATATATATATATATATATATTATGACTAGACTATCAATTTTTGCGAATGTTGAGAACGTAGAGCACGTCCTACCATAGTGTGAACGGTTTACTTCATGCAGTACTGTCCAACATTTCGTGACCTCACAAAGTAGGAATTTCCAGAGCTTTGTACCCTGTGTTCTGCAGATGCTGTAAATAAAGCCGCACGAATGCACTCATGGACATGCAAAAACACAAGATCACGATCACGAAACAAAAGTACGATTACCAAGATTTAATCACCGAAAGCAATTTTGTACAACTGTTCCATAGCATTATGCGAAATGACGTGCCATTTTTTTTTATTACAGACTGATTTTTTTTCAACACTAGCCTGAAAACGTACCGAAATATTATTGGAAGTACTTAGGTACTTCCGGTATCCTTGCCAACAGCAGCACATTTAAAGGTACTCTTCGGAACTCTTCGTTCATTCATGGTAAGAACGTAACAATCAAAATCACTTAATTAACTCTTAACTATGTCGTTGATAAAATGTGCTACAATGATGATAAATAATGTGTATTTTAGATCTGGAATTTCAGTTCTTTATTCAACACTACTTTCATTTATAAAATATGTATTTCTGAAAAAAAGTATTTCTGAGGAACATGTTCTCCATAACAATGCTTACTTCTCTCAGATTTGTCCAATTGCAAAACTATAATATTTTTTCATCTGATCACTGGATTATCTTGACGAAAGGCTTAAATAATCTACTGAATCGTATCTTGAGGAGTTCCAAATAAATTTTCAAATATGCCAAATTCCCCGAAATATCCTTTTCCTATTATCATTCAACCGTCAGTAAATATTTAGAAAACAAAATACGTACCAACCCCGAACGGAAAAAAATACTTTGTATGTACTTGTGATCGTCAATCGAATTTGTATATCACTCGAAACACTAGTCATGAAATTGAGATCTCGAATAAAATATTGTACATCGCGCAACAAAGTAACTTTTCTTGATAGACGGGGGTTTGCTAGATTCTGCCTATCGGTCACGTCCGGCAACTCTCTCCCTTTGTCGTCATGGAAACATCATCTTTCTTGCCTTGTAATGAAAATTAGTATTATTTAGCTTTTATTGTTAAAAGAAGAGAAAATCAGATTTTAAGATGAAAGTTGTCCTATTTATCTTGTGAAATCATATTATAAATTTTAAAATGTCAGATTTTGATTGTGGATTATAATTTTACACTTTTAATATTCAAAAGCAACTTTATCGTAGTGCCGAGATATAATTAATATTAAATCGATACTACAGAGGCTACAGGCCGTTACCTTGCGGCCGATAGACGTGCAAAGAAACGCAATTTCTTGCATTCAAACACCTGCGGACCGACAGGTGCCCAGGGCACATCCTTTGTTCCTGCTAACTGATTTTACTTAACATCCTTGCCAGAACAGTTCATTAACTAAACTTGTTAAGCACGAGAAGATTTATTGCAAACCATTTTAAATTAATCCTTCTCAGATGCTCAGATACGAAGATCTCGTTGTTAATAACTGCCAATTATTTCAAGAGCCACTGATGGGCCTCCTCACTCTTGAGTAGCCTTTTAATCTCTTCGGGAGCGATCTGCAACACAAGCTTTCACAGGGAAGATGCCGAGGATGTGTGAAACAAAAGCAAGTAATTCAGCAACATGAAAAATATTAACGATAGAATTTCTGTTGGCTCCATTTAGAGAACAACTCTGTGTTAGCTCTTCATGTGTTACTTCCAACTGCTCTTGCGTGGTCGGCGGCAAAAGAAAACGCTTTGCTGGAACTTAAAAGTGGCGATTGTTCCATGCGGTTTATACGATGGCGAAATATTTGCGCCTACCATCTACTACAGAAACAGATTACGATTCATCCTCCGAAATACGCTTCTCCTTGTAAAGAGAACAAATAAAAACTGAATGAAAATAGAAAAAAGACACAATTATCTAAAGTAAACAAATAGATGAAAATAAAGTCGCGAAGAAAAAATGAAACAGACAGATCACGTGAAACGAATAAAAAACAGGCTTCAAAAGATGAAGCCGTTAAATACAGAGCATACGGATGGAGAAGTACAGAAACAAAACTATTTGGTATACCTTAGTACAGAACGCAATAAACCTATCGTTCAGTTCTTAAGCAGGTTGGCAATTTTTTTCTAGGATGGAATTCAAAATATAATAAAAATAGGAAAAAGCTAGTGGCCTGTAGCAAAAAGAAAACCCGCTGATCAAAACCACACTCAAATTTTCACCTCAAGAGTAAGACGCACACTGCTTAACAATGAGAAATAAAATACTGTCGTATAACGCTACAACGCATTTTAACAGAAGAAGGCCGGGAACTGAGCATATTGTTTACCACTTACTTCGAAGTAGAATGTAGAACTAAATGCGTTTGTTCATTGATTTCTTTACAGCAAATACAATCCACTGTACGAGAGTAACATTATGAATGTCATCATTTACCTAATGATACGAAATTGAAAAGATGATGGAACTACGCCGTCATTAGAAAAAAACGTACACGAGGGACATAATACATGCTGAGTAGAAAAAATACGCACAAGGAAACGGCGTTCTGATGAGTATTTTTCGACAGGCATTGTTGTAATGAAAATGAAGTGTTTTTTACATATGAGGGTGACAGCGCAATAGTGGCCTATCCCACATTTTTAGGAAATTGCGTTCTCTGTGTTAAATCTCCCTAACTTCAACGTTGTAACAGTTTCAGCAATGTTGCGTCGATAGTTTCAGTTATAATTACAAAAAGACATTGCACTCCGCTTACGAATTACATTTTTTGTGCAATAGTGGCGCTAAAGCATAGGCGATAACTGTTTTACAACAAGATGTAATCCACCACAAATGTTTAGTCAGTGGTCATTCTTACATAATATTATAATATGAAAACACTTACAAATGAGTGTTTAATTTTGCCAATAACTTCATCAGCCATTTCCTCCAAACACAGGATCTGGGGATAGGCCACCATTGCGCTGATACCCTCAGATGTTCGCAATATTTATTTTTAGGTGCCCTGAGCCACCTCACCCGGTCCGCCTCCTGGGTCTGGAGGCGGTGGTGGGGGTGAGGGGTAAGGGGCGGGGGGACTCACCTTCCATGACGTACACGATGGAACCGACGTCGCCCTCCTTGATGATGAGCGCGCCCGCCGCGTACTCCACCGGGTACATGCAGTCCACGATTTCGCGGATCTGCGTGATCTCCAGGTTCTTCATGAAGTCGTTGTCCAAGATGGCCGCCTTGATCAGCTCCCGCGACCTGCGAAGGGCAGAAGAAGAAAATGGTGTTTTACATCTGTGCGATTAGACTCAGGTCTATTGCATTCTTTTTTATCTTGAGGCTCACTAAAGATGCAACTTTCAACCTCGCGGTGGACCCAGATCTACGATATTATTTTTTAAAAATAATTATAGTACGTGATGTTAAAATATTCGTAGTTTACGTCACAAACTTATTTACTACAACAAACATTTAACAATGTTATAAAAACATATTTGTTACACTGTGTATTTTTTTGTAATCATGAGCCTGCATATCAGTAAAATATTTTAATTTTAAATTTTTGGGAGATTCACTGTAAGGTAGTTATTTCCAAATTGGCATAGATGTTACATTTATAGTTGTTGTATTTTTGTGATTTATTGTAAGGCTATTTCACGTGTTCAGAGTTAATTTCCTTGGCCGAGATTCAAAACTCCTTAAAGTGAAATGTTGAGACCAAAGTTCAAATACATTCAATCCGGCCCTATTCAAAAGTATTTCGGCATGTAAGGACTTTACTTTTGACATTTAAAATAGATATTACAAACATGAAAAAAGTGATTGTTAATATTTCATTGCAAAATTCCTTTTACCTTTCACATTATATAATCGAATATATATTTTTCGTTTCCGTAATAGTTTAGTAAGATATAAAGAATTACAATTATATTTTATTTTTAAATCGTAATCAGATTTCCATTTTCAGTTTTGTGTTCCCATCATACGAAAAATTCAAAAAGTCCATTTACATCAATTTTGGCCGTTCGCATCTCGTTTGCATCTTTTTTCAAAGTGATTCAATCATATTGTAGTTACCCGCGTAATATGTGGCTTGGATCAATTAGTCCTGGACACACTCCTTCTCTCTCTTGTTCTCCTTTCGCTGATATGTCTCCAAACTAATCCAACTAATTCATTGACATCACATAGCGAACAATCTCTTCTTAAGTGCGTGATCTGGGCTGTCCGGGTGACGCCGTCCTCAGGGCTAATATGCGCGTAAACTGAGGAAGACCACGACAAGATGGTCGAAACGTCGGCAACACAGCCTTCGACGCGGCGTCACCCGGACAGCTCAGATCACGCACATGACTCTGGCCGCGGAAGCTTACGACTTCAATTTCTTCTTAACATTCGGAACATAAAAATCAACTACGTTAACATACAAATCAATATAACACGTTGAGATGCAACCTGCCTTTAATCCAATGTAGGCAGAGTTAGCCAGTGCAAGGTTAATTGTGGGTAATTAATATTTTAAAAAATTGAAGTTTTTTTTCAAACACCGCAGTAAGTAAATAAATAGTACCACATTTTAATAGCCTATGCATTAAATACTTATCTTCACAGAAACTCAGTCCTTCCTACAATTTATTTCTAACGTTTTGAGAAACGGCTGTTATGCACGCTAGGGCATTAAATGTTTCATCTACAGTCGCTCCTGCTAATAAAACATAATTTAGAACTTAGATCATGCATCACATGGGACGGGCCCACCCAGGCCCTTTGCTGATCCTACCCGAGGACGTTGCAGCGCGTTCAGTACATCCTGGCCATGCAATGATTGAGCATGAGGGGGACATTAACCCCAATTAAAACAGAAAATTAAGTCCGCGTGAGTAAATGAGCAAATCTAGAATCTCGAGGTTCCAAAGATATCCTCACGTTTCCTTAATCCATTTACGGGCAAAATACAAATAACATGTAGCATTTCGATTACCGGCGGCAAATCATAGAGCGGGTGATCCATCTGGATTCGGGTCTCAAAATAGTCGATACATATGTGCATCCGTTTCGCATATCTAGCAAATGTATTCGTTATTCACTAGAAATCCTCCAACCAAAAGTAACTAGTTCAGCGTCCTGAGCCCGTCTAAAAGCAGAACGTCCTGTATGGCATCGAGAATATTTTTGTATTATATTTTTTTGATTAAGGTGCTTATACAATGCTCAGCCATTTGGGTTTTATTGTTGTTAAGGCCGAGCATTTCCAAAAGAAAGCGATGATGCGAAGGGGAGGGGGGCTATAAAAACTCTCTTTTAAGCTTTAGAATGAACTGGTGCGAGTATTAAAATGAAATAATACGTATTGTTGACCGTTTTCGAGAGGAGTTACAAAAAATCTCTGGAGCACTACTGTCAACCAAAGTTCGTACGCGCTCGTACATGCATAAGTGCAGGAATTTATAGTGGGTACTAGAAAGCGAACAGCTATTTTAGTCATAAAAACATTGAAGAAATACCCAAAGTATTCCTGATCCTTTTTTTAAATCTAAATTTGTAATAAAAGATAGTCGAGTATAAAGATTATTATTTCAAAAAACACTAGGCATTAATACATTTAAAAATATAATGTAAAATTCGTTTTTTTTAGTTTTGGACTAGGGTTGCATACAACTAAAAAACATATTTTGGAACAAAAACTGCTTAAACATTTTACTTCATTTCGCTTTTTCTCACTTATCCGACACGAAGAACGTAGCTGGAATAACGTAAATGGATTTGGTATGATTTTCTTTCAACTTAAATTGATAGTACAATATTTCTATAATTTAATTAATCTACCGTTATAACATACGAATTATTTGCGGCCACTTTGCAGGTTTCACGTGAACGTTCCTAACTCCAGTGTCCTCACAATGTTAAACTCATTAGCTCAGGATCACGCTCCGTGCTCTAAACCGTTTCAAACGTCACGTGCGAACTCCTTCGTCTAACGAACCAGCTTTAGAAACAATTATGGGATACCATACTCTCAGGTTCCCAAGATTGTCGTGACTCTTACTGCAAAGGATGTTTGTAGGCTGGACACCATCCTAATAAAAACTACAGTGCTCGTGTATTACGACAGTGCTAGTGTTATTGCTAGGGTTTGGAATTGCAACGCGGTCCTAAACAAGCAATGCCGAGAATTCAGAATGTAGAGAGGTTTTCAAAAAATACACTACTTTTCGGAACCTAATTCTAAAAATATAAATCGGTTAGCTTAATCGTGTCCGTTCGATTGTCCTTCACAGTCGGACTTCTCCCGGTCCAAGGTTCGTGTTACGCGAGATGTCACTCGTTACGTCTCAGGCTACTGGTGCAGCACTGGAGAAATTGTCACTTTTTGCGTTTGCTTCAAGAACATTATTATTATATTTGAAAATAGCGAATGGGGGCAGGGGAATCATGGGGAAGGTAACGCATGGGAGATTATTATTAGTTTCATTTAGGTTGCGATTTGGTGTAATCGAAATGTCATTAGTTGCATCTCGGTCTACTGGTGGGGTTCAGGTCATTGTCATCATTCTAATGTAATTTTTAAAAAAACTCAAATAAATACTCACGAAAAATCTGTCAAATCTGTTTAAGGCGTCGGTGACGCCACTCTCAGTTACTTTAAATTTATTACTATAGCTAGCTTCCGTCAATAAAATGAAAACATAGCCACTTGCAGAATATTTTAAAACTTGTATACACATATAAAATTATTCTTTATTTTATTCCTCTTTCTGTCTAGTAAAATAAAATTTCTGTACACTTTTCCCACTGTTTTTAGTTCGAATGAACTTTTGCGTACAATAAATAAATATTAATTTTATTATTTACTTTTTTGTCTATTGTCTTTTCAAATTAGACTGATTGTATTTTGTTCTTTTTTGTTTTGTTTTTGGCATTAAGCTTGAAGGTGGAAATAATTATTTTCCAAAACCTTGCTGCTACTTTTATGTATCACATGTAATATATTTATATAAAGCAGTTATTTTATAATTATTTTCTGTCTTTAAATTAAGGTCCAAATATAGTCAAATAAATATCACTGTAAATGTGAGAAAGATACTTGGCCACCTTCAATTCAGTTGGATGGGTTGGGGCTCGTCAAAGGCTAAGACCACAAGTCCCGTAAGTGTGGTGCATGTTTTATCGCGGGATGTGGCGGTGATTATTCCTCTCTTGATGACGAGATCCAGCACCGACCTACAGTCGGCTAACCGGGTTATCCGTCAACCAGGCATCTCCCACCAGCAGGGCACCGTCCCAATTCAGTTGAAACCGTTTCTTCCTACTTCCAAAGAGAAACCGATTTCCGCACCGAGCACGCCGCGGCGGAAAAAGAAGAGGGAGTCCCCCAGGGTCTCGGACGGTGACGCGCTCGCGGGAGCGCGAAACGGCGGCGACGGCAGAGGCGGTGGCAGTGGAGGTAGCGGCGGAGGTAGCGGCGGAGGTGGCGGCGGAGGTAGCGGCGGAGGTAGCGTCGGAGGTAGCGCCGGAGGTGGCGGCGGACGTGGTGACGGACGTGGCGACGGACGTGGCGGCGTAGGTAGCGGCGGAGGCTGCAGCGGCGGCGGCGGCGGCGGAGGCGGCGGCGGCGGAGGTGGCGACGGCGGAGGAGGCGGCGGCGGGGCGGTTGCCGCGGCCACCGTAACTCTCGGCGCGTCGACGCGAATAGCCCCCGCGGGCGCCGCCGCGGCCGAATTAATTGAGTCGCCACCGCGAGATTTACCGCGCTCAACTGGCGAGGAGGGGCGCTGCGAGCAAGTGGAGTACGGAAGAAATCCTGCGGTGACCGAATTGATTAATTATTTCGTTTCCAAAAGCCTTAACTGTTATGTTCGTTCGTAGGAAGCGCATCTTGATGTTTCTGCTTCATTGCATCTGGACGTAAATGGAGCTTCACTATGCGTACGTTTGGTTGAACTCCCCTTTTACTTCTAATGGTAGGAGTAGAGGTAAGGGTGAGTTACTATTTTGTTGACAATGCAGAAAAATAATTCCTGCATACATTTTCTACAACTCGGGAACGAAAATATCTAGTTGTTTTTGAAATACTGCTATATGCTAATCGCGATTTTTTAAATTGATTATTATTAATTTATTTTAAACTTTTACTCATCTGTCAACTATTTATAGTTAAAATGATGGGAAGGGATTTTGGAACACAAGAAAACGTGCGCAGATGATCTTCTCCCACATACGTCACATATAGTTTTTACTGTTTTTTGACTAAATAAATGTTAATTTAAATTCCAAAACATCGCAAAAAATTATCACTAAAATTACATTAAAATGACCTAAAAGAAAATAATGATGTAAAAAATTTATTCAAATCAGTGCAGATGAACATTATAAACTGCAATATGTTATTGATGTAATCGAGGCTTCTCCTTTCGTTCAAGTGAACTATCTGGCAAAGTTTTGGTTTGGTTTGTTATTTAAGAGGAAATCTCTGTCTAGTTGTCCCGGAATTCGTCGAACAATGGCGCAGTTAGGCTTCTTAGGAGTCATAGATTACGTACTCGCAACGGCTGACATTAATTTCTGAGCGAAGAAGTCGAATAGGCTACTCTTGATAAACGTTTGTTGTTCCTCGTAAATATTATTTGAAATACGTACCATTAAAATGTTATAAAAATTGACGAAATCAGCGAAAAATACTTTTAAAATGACGGAAAAATTATAAAACTGACTTATTAGTCGAAATCGACCAAAAATGCAATATGAATATCATATAAAAATGGGTAATTTCCTTTTGTCACAAAATAAAATTAATGTCTATACTAAGGCATTGTTCTATTGTAAAAAAGAAAAATGGCATTTCATTAAAATCCGCCCCCTATTCATTACTACTGTATGTGTAGTGAATGAAAAATCCCGGGAGGCGGTGCTCCCCCTCGGCTCGAACATAATATTTGGCTGACCTTAATTTTTCTCTTCCAGTTATCTCCACCAACAGAGCACATCCCCATCCGGGGTACGCTCCCAATGAGTGGTGTTGAACGAGTATCTAAGTGTACGTGTGTGTGTGTGTGTGTGTGTAAGTGGTGAGGTTAAACATGAAAAAAATTGAGAGCGCACGGTCCGTGGCTCATTTGTTGTAGTATTGTTGCAGCGTTCGCAGGAAAGGATAGGAGAAACAACGGACAACTACCGATCAGTGCAGCCGGCGGCAAGAATTCTCTTTCATGCAGTGGCTGAATTCCATCTTAACATCTAGCTAGTGTCGATATATATCATATGTCATAATATATGTCACCCACGGAATTCAAACCTTACGAGCTTCCAGTCAGAGAGTAAGAGAATTCCAGTCTGAGGCACTGGGAAACCCGCAGTGGGAACAGTTGCCGTGAGTCATTTCAGCGGACACTTATTGACTGGAATTGCAATTGTTTTCTGCTTGCTGATTGAATAGCTGATTCGAAATTGCCCGCTAAGCAGAATTTCTGTTATCCATGATCACGTCATTCGTAGGGAAAGAAATTTGAAATTCACCATCCTTTCGAAATTATCAAAGAAAGTTTACACTAATTGTATGAAGAGTCTGAGACTTATGAAACAACACCTTAAGCTTAAATGTACTGATCACATAAACATGTTGCATTAATTCCCGCTCGATAACTTATTCTTCTGAGAGATTTCAGATGCCTGACGCATGAAAAAGGAGGCAGAATCATGAAACCCAGAATTTCGAAGGCTCGAGTGGTATTTAACAGGACTATTCCACGAATGAAATAATGCCCAACAGAGTTCTAAAATGCGCTAAATATTATAAATAACTGAAAACTAAGTTAAAATCAAAGACGTTATGTTATAGTACGTACACTGTTTATTGGACATCGACATAGTGGTCGATGTATACCGCCTTCTAAGATACATGAGTCACTGTTTATGATTAGCCTGTAGGGAGGAGCGGTAAGAAAAATAGGATAGAAAAAGCGAACAAGTTTTTGAAATACACCGCCTTGATTGGGGAATTTTGTATGCATAGTTAAACACTATTGGTTTTAACTTCACGAGTGAAATAGTCGGGCCAAATAGTATTCGGTTACAAACTACGTGCGTGACATTTGAAGACTTCACCACTTCAAATCATCGTACCAAGAGAACCACGAGCGAACTGGACGACTAGTAACCCGTACAGAAACAACTGCCAACGTAAATCGCAACAGCGTGAAACGAACGCAGAGAAAACACCAAAGTGGCAACATAAATTTGTCACGTACGGCCCTCAACGAGTATTAATGAGCGTATATTACGAACATCGCCAACATTTTCGCAGCGCTGCCCAAAATACGTCCGTAACACCGCCACCTACTCCCGTCGCAGGTGTATTCTGGAGCTTCTGAGTCACCTCGCAGGCCGAAAACCTTACGCGAAAAAAAAAGAAAGAAAAAAAGTTGCTCGGTCGCCTCTTCATCACGCGTGACAACGCGCGATGAGTTACGGCAACGCGTTCACGCCCTAACTCATCAGGACGAGAGAGTGTTTTCACTTCGCTGGCCAAAAATACACGAGAGCTCCCCGGGGCACATCCAGACGCTATGTAGACTTGGGCGTATGGATGGAGACAGGGGCTTGTAAAGCGCTTTGAGGGCTGCTGTAAAGATTTAGAGAATTGTAAAGCACGAAGTTTTAAATGGCAATAATCTAGAGATTTTTTCGTAATTTCACCTCAGAAAAAATCCTTAATAATAATAATAATTCTCATTATTATTATTATCATGATTATTATCATAGAATGTTGTAAAGATAAAACAAATCAGTTGCCATGCATTTCTGTTATTTCTGTGTGGTAGATATGTAAGCCTAATTTGTGTGAAAATGGAATAATAATAATAATAATAATAATAATAATAATAATAATAATAATAATAATAATAAATAATTACATCTCGTTATTGATAAAAGCCCATATTTTGGGCCAAGTATTGTAGAGACCCCGGCAGTCACAAGCTACAATATACTCCTTAGAACACCCTGGATATTTTACAATTACCATTACCCTTTTTAGACACCATGTAGAGCAACCGAGCAGAACGTACATACGAATGACTAACCTTGGTTACGAAAGCAGCTGCCTGACGTTTGATAGGGACTTCATCGATACCAGAGCAGTCAATCAAAACTCGAGCGCCTTCGCAGTGAAGGGTTTCTGAAATCCCGGCCTCTTTCAATCTAAGCTCAATCGGAGGGGGAGCACCAGAAGAATCCGAGGGTTTCGCGGAGACGCCCTGGCTGGATCGCTCGCCGCCGAGCCGGCTGGCCTTCCGCCGCCGCTGCAGCCGACCTGTTCGGCCGCGACGCGCCGAATACAGCGGAGGTGAACGACCAAGGCGTCGTGCGCTCGGCGGGCGCGCACCTCGAGGCGTATTAGGGTTGATCTTACACGGCGATTCCCCAATCGGGAGTCCGCGATTCAATCAATCGGGAGCCCGCGATTCCCCCCAATCGGCAGACCGCGATTCCCCAAATCGGGAGTCCGCGATTCCCCAAATCGGGAGTCCGCGATTCCCCCCAATCGGGAGCCCGCGATTCCCCCAATCGGGTGCCCGCGATTTCCCAATGGGAATTTACGCCCGTTTTACACTAAACGTGTCTGATTAAATTAGAATCGGTAAGAGACAAGGGGAATTTTATTCGTGATATCGACGTCTTCAGGGGGCGGGGTGAAGCGGGTGAGGTCGGGGGAAGCGGGAGGGGGGTTGGTAGATGCGATGAGGCGGAAGCGGAAGAGGAGAGGAGAGGGTGCATGGGGTTGAGTCAGGCAAAGGAGGGATCTCGCGGAGCTGCTGGATGAAGCGGGAGAGGAGAGAGGGTACGGTGTTGGTGGAGGGGTGGGTTAACCCGGCGGGGCGGGTAAATCGGAGGACGTGGCCGGAGCTGCACGAAGAGGGAGTCAATGAGAGGGTGAGACCGGGCGAGGGAAGCGTGGCGTGCGGGGAGGAAGGCAGGGCGGAGCGCGACGGGGCGACGCGAGCGGGTCGGGGCGAGCGCTTCGAAGGCGGGGCGGATCGGGGCGAGCGGCTGGGCCTGGGCGGGGCGTGAGCGGGGGGGTTCAGAGAGGGGGCTGGGATGCAGGAAGGGCGGGGCGGATCATGAGCGTCGCGCTTTACGAGCGTGCGAACCGGCCCTGTCGAAGCGAAATTTACCACCCGCGCCACACCAGACGAACGCGCGCGGGCAGCTGGCACTCAGGCCCCGCCTCTCCTTGTGGCGCTGCATTTCGTGTTCTCTCTTGTTTGCTCAGGACGCGAAATTGAAGTTCAAAAATCAAACTCAAGTACGAATAAAAAGAAGCTAATGCCACCCAGATAGATACATTTTAGAGTAACAGCCGGAAGCAAAGAAAGTAAAAAAGGAAAGGAAAAGCAAAGAGAAAAGAAAAGAGAATACGTTGTGAAAAGTGCTGTAAATGAAGTGTAACATTTGCAGTAAGCAGAAAAAAAGTAATGTAAAGAGAAAAAAAGAAAGTAATGTAAACAGTACAGTCAGTAAAGAAGAGTGCAGAAAGTAATGTAGAGAGTAAGGTCAGGGAGAGTCACATAAAGATATAGTATAATCCAACGTTCCGACCAGAAACTGCAAACATAACACAGCATTTTAACCCCGGGAAGGTCACGTCTCATGATCAAAACGTCTTCGCAACAGCCTTGCTTGCAACGGTATTGCCTGAAGTGCCGAGAACATTCAAATGAGACTGACCCCGGTAGCCTAAAGCATCACGAAAAAATTCATACCTTTCAAAGCCATTGCTCTTGAACGGAGAAGACCGAACCATTTATTAGTACAGAGCACAAGGCACACAATTTAAAACACACACAAATTGGCTCATGGTAGATTGGGGTAGCTCATGGTAGATATTAATTTAATGTGGTGGACTGTCACACAGTAACACGTAGTTCAGATTGTAATTTTGTAAAGCTTTGTAAAATTTTGTAAAGTCTCTATTACCCGAAAAAGTAGGTACGGTCAACACAAAAGAGATTCTCAGTACTAAACAGACATACGCCACAAGCTTTTAGTCTTAAAATTCACCAAACGGATAATAACCGAAATAATAATATTAATTATATTAATTGTAATCATTATATCGTTCGTGTGCTGCAATAGAGGCACAACTAAAAAAATCTGGTGTGGAAATGAACGAGGTTGAAGCTTTCACCTTGAAGGATTGAAATGCATCATTCCTACATTCACATTTCTGCCATTTGTGGGTCGAATACTGGCAGATATGCTGCTGTTGCTACTAAAAGGTAGACCAATCTGCAATTCTAGAGAGCGCATTAACTCAACATGTTTTGAATTGTGCTTCTATTGCAACCCACGAGATATATTATACTATAAAATAAACAAATTCTACAAGTTCTCTTCATTTATTGTTAATAAACAACTCTTATATGTTATATATAAGAACTCTTGATTAATTGTAATTTGAGAATAAAATGTATTACAATTATTGTAAAACATTATCCAACATTAGAATAACTCTACTGTCCATTGAGGTTCGGTATTCATAATAACGTCTATAACTTTTGTAGTAGATTAACTTTTCACGACAATATAAATGATCTGATAATATCGCACACCTATCGCAGAATAACACGCTATTATCCCCTTAGTTCCGAGACCCGTTGTGCCCCGGTCGGCCTGAACAATGCACATCGGTTACTTAATTCAATTACAAGCTCCAAAGGTCGCCGACTGACTTTCCAGCTTCGCTATTATCTCCTACACTCATTAATTGCACAGTCGCCGCCACTGGGACCCAGACTGAACGTAACATACGGGGGAAACGGGTTTTCCTTCATTACCCGGCCGAACACGCACTGCACTTCAGGCGGGGAAGGTTTACAACACCCCGACATTTCCCAAACTTTACACAAGTGCACAAGTGTTGCGGTTCAGTTAAATAATTTGCAGACAAACTCATGTGTGTACAGAGTGGTGTATAAACCAGAAATTTACTTTGTGCATTGCGTATGGCGATTGAATATTTATTTGGATTTATTTTAATTCTGTGAGTAGATTATCTTCCAAGTCATTATTCTCCATCCTTAATCTACTTCATTGTTCTATTGTTTAACTACAACACTATCATCATTGGACATTTTAGCGTCTGTTGTCACTTCAATTGACGTTCCCTTGTACTCAGTGAAATTATTCCTCTGAATTATTACTCTCTAGGAAACCTTGACCGCAACTTCCACTCCTTGATTCCACCTGTAGCTCGCAAGCACACTGCGGCCGAAAATGCTCTCCTGCTACTAGTAACTCCTAAACCCGAACGTAGCTTGCACATTATTACAGAGATATTACTGTAAGAAGGGACCACTTTGACAGATAGTGCTTGAACACTGCTGGCAATATAACTGCAAAATACGTCCATGCACTCAATTTGTCAGTGCGTTCGGTTACAGGTGGCTCATTTGCAAATGATTTCATCATTATCTCTCGCGATGTCAACGCCCTGCATGACGTTCAATTGTTCCCCGACCTGTCAATGAGGTCCCTTCTTAGATTAACTCGTCTATACATTTGGGGAGGTGTGGAGGCACTCACGTAGCAACCAAAGGACCCTTTGGCGCAGAAGACGTCACACTCGATCCACATACAAACAAATTTTAACACTGAAGTCAACATCAGATGATGCACTGAACAAAAGACGATAAGAAAGTCGTGGGAAAAAATGAACACGAAACAAAACAACAGACAATGGAGAAGAGTGGCCGATGTTTATGCCTTGGGGCACACCTCGGCGCACAGTCCAAAGGGGCGTGGCAGGATGATAGGAGAGGGGTGGGGCGGGAGGTGTGGGGGGGCAAACGTGGAGTACCGCGCCTGTTTCTGCAAGCGATTGGCGCTGGTAGCTCTGACCTTTCGCGGCGAGGTCTGGCGGCGGCCGCTCGCAAGCACGTGTGCAGACTTGCGATACGCGCAATGTTCCTTGGAAGCACGTCTCTCGTTGCTAACACGTAGATGTTTTACAACCGTAATTATATAGGGTGAAGTCGTAGGCTTCCGCGACCAGAGTCATGTGGGTGATCTGGGCTGTCCGGGTGACGCCGGTCGAAGGCTGAGTTGCCGACGTTTCGACCATCCTGTCGTGGTCTTGCTCAGCATACCAGCCCTGAGGAAGACCACGACAGGATGGTCGAAACGTCGGCAACTCAGCCTTCGACGCGGCGTCACCCGGACAGCCAGATCACCACAAATTATATAGGGTGTCCAGCAAAGAAACAACGATACTTCGAAAATAAGATCTTTTAACATATTTATTTACTTACGGGCAAAACAGTTAAAACTGTGTGTGAGGCGCTATGGGAGAAGTTAATTTGAAGTTACATTATGTCCAGAAGCAAAACAAGGGCCATCTCAGCATTTGCTCGAAGATCAGGGAAACTGGACTCAAAACCTAATCGAGATGGGTTGAAAACCTGATAAGCTCTGAATCAACTTCAAGCAAATTTTACTAATTATCTCCTTCGAGATATCGAATGACTGAGCAGCAATAAGCACATTGAAGTTGGTTGGAAAAACAATATTTCTAAGCAAAAATTTGAATTTTAAACATATGAACACTCAATAAGCATGATAATTGTTTATTATTTACATAACAATATTTTTGTTTTTAAATAAAAATAATTCAAAAATACATTCAAGTGTAAATTGGATTTTTTTTAGATTTCTGTGTTAGCTTTTCTTTGTGAAAAAATATATCAATTTCTGTCGTAAATAATAAACAATTTACATGTTTCTAGAGTTTAATTTGAACGTAGGCTTCCGCGGCTCTATTTCATGACTTCTTGGCTGCCCGGGTGATGCCGCGTCGCTGGCTGAGAGGCCGACGTTTCGCCTGTCATATCGCATATCATATCTTCAGGGTAGTGACTGCGCCGCATAAATGTTTTCAAAATGCAAAATTTTGTATTGAAAGTATTTTTTCAAACAAATTTTTGAGTGCTTATTGCGGCTCAGTCATTTGAAATCTCAAAGTTGCTTATTAGACAAAATATGCTTAAAATTGACTTCAAAACTTATTTTCAAGTTTCGTTGGTTTCTCCCTGATCATCCTGTATATGTAGTATTTGCATTTCAAGTTAATCGACAGTAACTCCAACAACACACTTGTGTCATTGAGGTCATTTACCTTCCAAAAGTTTCTATCTCGATCAACACTCAGGTCGTCGCTCGCAAGACACGTGTGTCGACCAGCAATACGCCAAAATATGTTTCTATAGAAGCGCCTGTTTTGATGCTAAACTCTTTCGTTGCTAATACGCCAATGTTTTACACCTATTCGCCTATCACTCCTTTCACGTGATTCAGTACACAGCGATCCTCGATTGTATCAGGAAGTTACGTTCAACACGATAATCAATAAACTAGACGATACACTCTCACCGAAAAATTTAGTATTTTGAAGTTGGCGACAGGATTATTTCTTCTCGCCTTTTATTTTACTCCATTGTTTCCTCAACAGATGAGCCGAATTAAATAGTGGAATAACACAGGCAAGTATGTAAGATCAGACACGATAACTGCTTTTGAATAGTACATTTTCTATAAATAATTTATTTTCCTTACGATAACGAGACTTCAAGACGAGAGAAATGAAATATCAGTACAAAAAGCGAGAGCTGGAGTAAAACAAATCGATGAATTTCATGAAAAAAAAACCTTTTTCTTAATTTTAATGTTTTGATTGATCGAGAAAGTGCTCCTCTACAGCTTTGGTCTTTGGTACCACGAGTTTCTCCGGAATGTAACATTGAGATGTGTTAAATCTAACATTAGATTCATTATATTTCCGAAACTACTCTGTTTGGCGTTGATCTTTAATCTACAACGTCAAAAACATTCTCCAACATTCCCCTGCAGTGGTGTTTTCTCATTCAAAATCTACCATTTTGAACTTTTACATAAAACACTAAATGAAATTTTTGAAATCGTTGGCAACCAGTTTTCCCCTTTCCATTTGTGGTCACGTACTACAATATTGCAAAGAATAAAACAACAACAATAGGGCATTTTAACAACTTATTGACAGTTCAAACATTGCACAGTCCAGAACGTAATGAGTTTTAGAAGTCATTTAGCATATTGCTAATACACTTCCAAGATACTATCACTCTGATCAATAGGTGATCAACAGACCTTCTATACCTCAATATCGTTACGTGCAAGCCATTTACGAGCTTCTTACTGCAAGGGGGGGGGGTTCTTCCCACTTATATCCTTTCAATGGGTTGGGAGTCAATGTGTACACGGGAAGTCTCTTATCTGATCACGGCATTGAGTAGCCGATAATTTTTAAAAGCTTTACGAATTTAGATACAAACTTTGAAATGGGAATACTGTTTTCAAAGTTCTGCGTTAATTGAAAAATAACCTGTCATCTTTTCCTTAGGCTTGTATTAAAACAAATAGCCGCATAGATTTCACACAACTTTAAAAACTGCAACCATTGAGCCACAAGTAAATTTTTTATTATTATTCAAATCTCAATCAATATTTTATTTCCTTCTAGATGCGTTTTCCACACTATTTGATCGTTTGAAGTTGTGAATTTAAATAATGCAGTACTTTGTCACAAAGAAATGCAATAGAAAGTAATTTTCGTATAGTGGAGATATAATACACCAGAACATACTAGTCTGGGTACAGAATTACATCAGGTACGAGCATTCTGCAACAGCAAGATGATCCACGAACCATGGCTACTAACATTACGCACAAATAAAAGCAACTAGATAGAAACTGCAGATGGCAATACCATTA